ATTAAAAGCGCGAATACACACGTTTTACAAACACAAAAAAAATTCGTTTGTTTAAAGAATGGAAAACTCATGTGATGATTGGTCATTTAATTAACACTTTTTTATAATTTAAATAATGACTAAATTGAAAACAAATGTATAATATCTCAAATAAATTGTGCCTAAAATTTTTGTAAATAAATCTAAAGTTCGAAAAATGTACCTATTTACCGTAAACTTACCTAATGTTTTGGTAATTCAACCTATTTTTATTATAATAATACCTCGAATAATAATAATAAAATCTAATTTAACAAAAATATTACCTCATTATGGTAATTATTCCTAATTGGCAAAAATTATATCTAATTTATTATAATCAATCTATTTTATTAAAAAAAACATCCTTTTTAAACAAACTCCGACTGTAACATATATTATTTTATTGATATGTAACTTTTTTTTTGAAATAAAAATTTAGTTTTTATTATTTATTTATTTAAATGATTTAAATTAAATCTAACAAAACTATACTGACAATTAAAACTATAATTTATATATAATAATATTATTTAATTGTTATATTTATAAATTTTATAACAAATTCTTTTCAATATCCATATTAACTTGTTTTAAAAAAAAATTCTATAAAAAAACTAGATATAAAAACATGTTTTTTTTTGTTTTGGGTATTTAGTAAAATTAACTATAATTTAACATAAAATCATTTAAAATAAAACAGTCTAAAAATAGACATACAAATAACAACTAGAATTATTTAATTTGTATATTTTATATAATATAATTAAAATAAAAATAGAATTAAAAGTAAAAAAGAATAACAATTTTTTTAATAATAAAAATATACGAATAAAAATACTATAACTGTAAAACTATACAATGACGGTCTATCAAAGCGACGATGGTAAGAAGAAAATTACAATCTCAGAGTCCTGTGTAGGCTGTGGTTGTTGTGTCGACAATTGTCCTGCTGATGTGCTTTACATTGTCGACAAAAAATGTTGTGCCAAAAACGTTGAGAATTGTCTTGATTGTCATGCCTGCGAGACGAACTGCAAATTAGAAGGCATTAATGTAGAAGTTGATGAAGATGATGATGACACGGACTCGGATGAGTAATTTTTAATTGATTATTTCTAGCTCAGACTATTAACATAAAAGTACGATAACCTGTTTTATTTTAATATCTCAATTCTAACCCAATATCAAATTTTGTTCTTGAGGAAATATTTCTCCCACATCACAACAGTTGGAACGATATTTTCAATATCAAGTTGACCAGTCTCTTCATTAAATTTTTCATTCACAAACTTGGCTCTATTCTCAAGTACATATTCCCAGAAACATGGCGTCTTATTTTCTATTTGTGACTCAACCCGTTCCCGTTCCGTGTCAAACATGAATGTCCCAAACTCGGAACAGAAAATTGCGTCGTTCAACTCAATCAAAAAGTCTTCGTTGAATTCAAAGAAGTTACTAAATGTGTTCATCATTATGTGGACACAATCTAAGAATTGAAAGAATATTGGCGCGTACTGTCCAAATGGAGACTCTGCCCCAAACCCTTAATTGTTACTTGAAGAGTGATGAAGTATTATCATGAAGTTCAAATGAATTTTATATTAATACTACTTATAATAGTAATTAAATAATAATTAAATAGTAAAACAAACCCGACCGTGTCATAAAGCGATGCCCAAAACTTTTCCAGTCTTTTTCTATTAGGACTATGAACCCATTTAATGTTCTATAATACCCATCTAATATTATTTCAGCTATACCACAACACTGTGATGTTCTATCCCACCCATCAGAGCAGTGAACTAATACACTGATTCCTTTTCCTAACAACTTACTTGCCTTTACAGCAGATTGTACAACAGTTTCTTGTAATGCAACCCACTTAGAAACTTCTTTAGACTTCATGAAGGGGGTATCAAAATGACGAGTCGGCATATTATAGACTGCATAATACAATTGTCTCCACGCGTCTCTGACAACATGGATGTTTGCAATGTTTTCAAAATCGACTTGTAAGAAGGGGTACCTGTCTTCATCTTCATATCCACCGCCCGCTGCTTTATTGGTCATTGCATTGAGTAATGGTCTTGAATCAAGTACATGCAAAATCTTATTTCCAGTCACTTCTTCCACCTTTTGTAAATACTCGACATCCCCAGAGGTGTTCTTCCCAGTGACAGAAGTGACAAACCCCGGCAACGGTTGCGCACTTCTTAACAACGCGGCTTTATTCTTATTAGAAAACCACGTCAAAACAGGAAACCGACCTTTACTTCGGTGTTTCATAGTGTTTTTAATAGTAGTCTCGTCTGCCGTCTTTGGGACATATACCAGTGATGGGTATGTCGACGCCAATTTATATCGGGCATTCCCTTCAAACACCTTCCACTCACTACTTATTCCTTGTCGTTCAAATTCCCCTCTGAAGTCGTAAAAGCTTCTTTTCTTCTTGAACTCATTTGAGCAGAAGATGAATAAGACGTCGGGGGATGTCGTGAAGACTCTCTTGATCAATTCAGTGTTGATAACACGTCTTGTGCGTTGGTTGTCACTGAACGAGAATGTGAAGCATTGATTGTCCTTTGTTTCTAAATAAAACGTCCTCTTTCTACTTTTGTCCGACGTGTTGATTTTCTTAAAGTTCGCAATTTTGGTGAGGGGAATGGTGAAAGAATACACCGCCGCAGTTGTCTGAAATTCGACTCGATAATTTGTCAACACGAACGTCCCAACCATCTCTGTGTAATTCGAAGTATCATTTCTTGCTATTAATGTTATTGCCGTGTTTAACACAGTCTTTTCGCCTTTTTTGAAAGGCACGTGCACATCTTTTGTTGTGGCGTCGAGGGACAATGGCGAAGAAATTTCAATTTCTGAAGTTGAATGGTCCACATGAATTTCTGTAAAACTTTCGCTTCTTTTGAAGTCATCACTTTCTTTGGTATTTTCTGGGGTTTTCTTTGTAAATAAAGTTTGGAGGAATTTGCGAGAGATCGGCATAATGCCACTGTCATCGTCTTCATTTTGTTTTGAATTTTCACTCTCTTTTTTCGTTGGGGTGGGTGGAAGTGGCGTTGTTGGAACTTCTTTGGAATGACTTTCTGTATATCCATCACTCTGTGCCGTTACTTTAAATACGGCTTCTGGATGGTCAGACTTCTTTTCTGTGTATTGGGGAGGTTGTGGAGGTGGTCTATTTGGTTCAAAGTCTTGTGGACGAAGTGCAGTAAGAATTTTTCGGAGCTCTTCTTTCTTTAAAAGAATTTCTGGAGTTTCATCAACTTCTTCTTGTTGTTCAATGTGTGTTAATTGTTCAGTCTCTTGGTATTTGTCTTCTTCAGAATTGTCCGACGACAGTGGGGTGCAACTTGAATGCTCGTCTTTATTTTTAATTTGTTGTGATACTTGACTTTCATTAGTTTCTACGTTGAGTTGATTATTAATTGGTGTTTCTTCAATTTTCATAACAGTGACTTGAGAGTCTTTAGTTACTTCATTTTGGTCTATAACAATATTACACGTTACCTTTTTTATTTCACTTGTTTTCAGTGGTGGTGATGTTTTTATAAAAGTGTCATTATTTTGCATTGAAATAGTGTCGTTTTTTTCTACTTTGATTTTTTCGCATGTGTTTAGAATAATTGGTTTCGTTGTTTGAACTGGAATTTGTGTGTGAGAGTTTTGGATACTTTCAATAGTGTTCATTTCTTTATTTTCAGGTATTTGTTGTTTGTCAATTGGTTGTACATCTTTCTGTTCTTCTCCGCTCTGTCCTTCTATAATTAAAAGTGTGCCGTTTTCTTGGTTCATAACAACTTTGTCCATATAATCTTTTGTAGTTATTCATTTCCAGTTGTACATCGAAACAGACTCTTTTTAGCTATTTATGTCATTCAATGTTTTCCAACTCAAAACAAGAAATACAGCAAAAATTGTCCATACTTTTGACAGATACAAATTAACATTAAAATTTTATTATCAGAATTATATTTAACGAGTAAATTATTCCAATAAAGTAACCATTCTAAAGCTATTTTTTTATCACAAATTTCTACCAAAATATCTCGTTAATTATTTCATTCAGTAATAAAAACATAACCTTAATTAAAATAGTACTTTCACTTTAATAAAAAAACTATTAACACCCGACATCCCCAAGAAACCCCATTCTCTATGAGAAAAATGAAAACCAAAGGAACCAATTCATTTAATAGAGCTCTTCGAATTTGATTGGGTTGATAGTGGTGAACTTAATAGTATCTTTCTTAAGGACCTCAGCACCTCTTGGGAAGACTGGCATTCTTTTTGGAAGGGCAAGTGTTTGCTTTCCTTCCTTCTTCAATTGAACGTTTTGGATCTTAATTTTTTCGGACTCTTTAACTCTGGCGAGGAAGTCTTTCTGGCAGTTGGATGGCATCAAGTGCTCTGGTCTGACATGGAATCTCTTCAAAAGGATTTTGTTGTTGACTTTCTTGTTGATCATAACACCAATTGCGTGTGGGTTAATGTTCCACACTCTACCAGTCTTTCCGTGGAAACTTTTGAATGGAAGTCCGTGTTGGACAGCCGAATTGCACATCACAGTCACGTAATCTCCGATTTTGTAATTGTGGAGGAAGGTCGTGGTGTTCTGAAGACCGTGGCATCTGTATGGTCTACGGAACAATTTACGAGTACGTCTGAATCGGCCGTTGGACAATGGCATCGATAACTTCCAGTTTACTAGTTCTCAAAGTCTCTTTAGGGTTTTTCCTCTCAACTTATTTATCAGACTTGTTAACACTTTTTACTACAGTTTTACTATATATTTTTTTCTTTTTTATTGTAATTATTAATTATAGTTGTTTGTTCTTAAAAGTACTATAACTCTTTGGGTGAATATTTGGTTTAATTTATAATTATTTTTATTATAAAATAACAAATAATAACATTATTTTTATTAAGAAATATTAACTAATTGTTTAATGCTTTATATTTTATATATATAACTATATATTATAATTTAT